GGAAAGAGAAAAGAAGAAAAAGCAGTGAGGTATGAATCAGAGCAGCACATGATTGTCTTTGATCCATATGCTCTCCTGTACAAGGACTATTCTCAGAATTTGCTTTTCTTCTCTGTGCCTAATCTCGAAGTATTGTAGGAAAGCACGGTGTGTTGCTGGGAAGATATTGGAAACTGTGAGGAAGATACAACTGTGAAGAAGTGGCTTAAAAGAGTGGAAAGGTGGCAGATTTATGTACTTCTTAGCACTTCTTCACTCCCTAACTCCAGACATTTTTCAGCAGCTTCCTAGAAACACACCTTCTCCTCATCCACGCACTTCCTTTAAAAACCACTGTGCTAGGAAAAATAAGGGATAAGCACTGACAATATTTTGCTGATTGCAATTTGAAAGCTTCAAATTTAAAGTCGTCTCATGAATGCTATCACAATGGTTCTTAATTACTGGTCGTTCAAATACACATCGACGACTTCCTTCTTTTCATCACCCTTACTGAAGTCTAATTACCACGACTGCCAATTTATGTGATGAAATGGAAAGAAACCTCTTTTTTTCCCCCCACAGTTCAGGAACCGAAAAGCCCGGTGTTAAATGTGTTACCTGTCTGGTTGTAATGCATCCAGTTCAGCATGATCTCAGGAGCCCTGTACCATCGGGTAGCCACGTACCCGGTCATCTCATCATCCGTGTGTCGAGCCAAGCCAAAATCCAGGATCTGCAGAACAGAAAAGATGTCCATCAACCACTGCAGTGAACAACGCAGACTAGTTAGTGCAAATAACCAGGCAGTTATTGGACTGGGTGGAGGAGAGGTGGTGCAACTGCAAAAGCAGATGACGAAACTACGTTTCACAACCTGTTAAAAGACACTAGAACAGCACAGGATTCAACCATCAGAATTATGTCTGGCTATCTTCTCTCTAAAACCCAAACTACAGATGTTAACTCTTCACCTTCATGATGATTCATTAAAAACATATGGACAGATGGAGAAAAAACATCCTCACAGCCTTTACAGCTGGGAAGGACACTACTACTTTGGGCCATAACAGTATAAGGAATTATTTTGTCCCTTTAATTCCAAGGGACACCCACCAGGCATTCACTCAAATCACAGTCAAACCAATCAGATCATTACCTTTAGCTCACAGTCTTCATTTACAGCTAAGTTACTGGGTTTTAAATCCTAAAAAATGAAACAAGAGCAGCATTAACAGCAGTACGTATGTTGTTTCACAAGTCTAAAGCAGATAAAGATGTAAATGCAGACAGAAGATAAGATTCTAACTGGCTGTAAATATCAACTCTCCATACTGGGAAAGTTATTTTATCCCAGTCTCTTCTGTGATCCTCACGGGTGTCACACATAGGAGCAAAAATGCATAAAGGCTTATTGCAACACCAGTGCTGTTGAGCAAATTTAGATGTATATTAGATGTGTATCTAACAAATAGAGGACCTATTTCACAAAGATACAAGTCAAACACAGGCAGGAACTGAAACCATGGATCTTGACAACCATTTCCCATGATTAACAGTTTACTTCGTTTTTGACTTTGATTTTGTTTAACCAAAATAATTGTTGGAAAATTTCTTCTTGTATCTGTAGATGCTACACTGTGAGGTTCTGCGCTACATTTTCTAAAGGCATGGGTTCAGCACAGGAAGCAATCTTAGGATACTCACCCTGTGTATTATGTCAGCTGAATGGATGTACTGCAAGGCAAGATGACAAGCTTTATATAACAGTCCACGTAACCTCCTTCTCATCTCTCTGCCAGACAACACTGCCCTACCCAACCCACACCATTCAAATGCTACAGCTCATCTGCGGTGTCTCTGGGTCTCAAGTATGTGGGTGTTTCACTCTGTCTCTGCTTAGGAACACCCAGGAGCACTGCCACCACCAGTGGAATACATCACACATGAACAACACTGAAGAAACAGAATGTTCACAGGCAGAGCAGAGGGCAGCATACTTCATCATTTCCAGACTCTGCCCACAGGAATCTATATAAATATCTTCTTAAATGATACACAGCTTTACTGATACACAGCTTTACTGATACAGAGCTCCAAAGAGGGAAGGAACAATAAAAAGAGGTTATCCTACAATGCATTAGGAAAGTTACAGCAGCCCCACTATGTACTAAAATGAATCTCGGAGGACATGACATTCATCAAGAACTTCCACCTCTCGTTGGTGAGCTATCAACATTCAGGTAGGACAGGCACGAGTACCTTCAGTCCCCGAAGAATTTGGTATATCAGGAACTGCACGTGGTCGTCAGTGAGTTTCTGGCATTTCACAATGTTGTTCAGATCTGCTCCCATAAGGTGTGTCACCAAGTACCTACGAACAAAAGGAAAGGCAGGCTGTGAAGCAATCCCTACAAGAGGATTAGGATAAAATTTCCCTATGGAGCTTCAGCAGCAGGGCTGACTGTCCCAAAGTGTACAGTTCACAACACTTTAAAAATACTATAGCAGATGATTACTCTGACTCCTACAGCACTGGTCAATAAAACACCAGTGAACAAGCTTAAAGAGACTTTAAAGTTCAGAGTGTCCTGTATCTTTTGTGCCAGACTTCAGAATTCATTGAGAACGAAGGCAGACAAATTAAGGTGGCAAATATGTCTATAATAATCTGAGAGATGCAAGGAAGATACAAAAGATGTTTGGTTGCAGTCTTCAGAGAAGTTACCTACACATCATTGAATTCTTCTAGTGACTTGGCAGGGGTGAACACATCCAGCAAACCAATCACCTAGAAAGAAAACAGCCAAGTGAGAAAGCTGTGAAATACATTCATAGTATAATACGATACAGTTACTAAGATCCCTTGTGGAATAGAAACTACTCATTCCAGTAGCTGTTTCACTTCCAACTACATGAATTGTTCAGATGCAGACAAATCGGTATTCATGCAAGACCAGAAACAAATGTTGAAATGTGTAAAGAACATTAGACAGCTGTCTTTTTATACCAGCAATCCACTTACAGCATCAAACAGAAGCCATAACAAAAGGCAGGCGTTAACGCTGGTTTAGAATACCTTATTTCAGAAAATAACTACAGTTTGTTCAGGAAATAAATGGATGAGAGAAACAAAAACCCAACCACCAGACCAAACTGTGTGCATCCTGCTCAGTTCTTGGTTGTACTGTGGACCACATACCAAAACCTGAATTGGGAGACTGTATTTGTTTCACTTGTACTGAGTAATGGCTAGAAAAATTCAAGGATCTGTAACACGTGCAATGAATAATAATGACTACACTAGAAAATAAACCGGGAAAGCCGTGCAATGCAGTGAGGACCCAATTTTCACAAGCAGCTTTGCACTGTCATTTGTATTTTCTGCCCTACTCCACCTTTCATTTTACAGCTGAACGGTTCCACCAGTAGAGAGTAAAGGGAAGTGCACGTGTTACTTTGTGGGAAAGGAAGAAGAACTACACCTTACTATCCCATCATCATCTTCTAGGTCATTTAAAGCACTGACAAAAAGAAAATCCATCCGGTCAATAACATTTATTCTATTTTTCCCTGAAAAGTGTTTTTAAACCTTATTTTCCTTCTCTTAACCTCTGTCTAATCGATATTATGTATTTCAGATGAGATTTTACTGAGGAAACTGAAGAGACAGAACACTTTCCTGCCTCTCCTGATATCCATCGCAGCAACTCCACTTCTAGACAGACACCTTCTTCAAACTGTTACATTCACATCCATCCTGTACAATAATTTTCGTGCTTACAGCGGACTCTTACGTATCACTTTTTACATAAAAATTCAATGTTACCCACCCCATTAGCACAGAAAGCCAAAACCTGACCTTGCTATCTAGACTTCAGGTTTTTTTCAGTTATCATTTTTATCTTGCTGCCCTGAAGAACACAGTATCAGGGTTCTCATCGAGTTTCACACACACTTAAACACAGCTATTCTGCGGTGCATCGCTGACTCACTCCTAAGGAAGTGTGAACACCAGGAGATGCAGAACCCAACTCCTAACCTTTTGCTTTCCCTTCTCAGCATTTTAGGATGTGACAAGAGCTTATTAATTTCTTCATATGACAACAAACCCATTTGCTCTCCCATCTGCTCGGTGTTGTGCTTTATGTGAGCTAACAAGGCCCCCTGGAACGTCAAAACACAACGCAGCCACACTCGAGTGCTCTGCAGGTCCATTTATTTCCTCAGGATCATCACCAACCAGGGTATCTACACCTTGCTGGTGTGATTTGTGCCATGCAGAATGAAGTGTTTTATTCCCAAACCGAGATGGGAATAGTCAAGATGCTAACGCTAACAAGCCTGCCTGAACTGGCTCTGCACATCTCTGCGTCTGCAGGATTTTCAAACCACAACCTAGATAAGCTTCCCACAGACAGATGATGGTGTGATGAACTGATAATAAATATTTCTATATATAAACAACTTCACTTCCTTTTATCCCTTACTCTCAAAACCAGATAGACTCTTTGCAGTACTAATGCAAACATATTAACGAATGCCAGACACAGAACTGCTGTAGCACCGGTCACAACCCAATTTTCATCACTTAACCTTACCAGCTTAGACAGAATGGATTGATATGGGGTTTTTTTTTAACAGATATTCAAAACTTTCCTGTTTGGAAAATATCTCAGCTATGAGAAAAGGTCTATAAAAACTTCCAGGGGATGGGTATTAAGCAGGATCAAATGCTACCCCTACTGTGGAGGCAATGGTATCGTGCAGAGGCACTGATGAACTGTTGGCAATAACACATATACACATCAGAAGTTCCAACTATGTTACCCAAACTAAAAACACCAAGAAGGTTTACGGGATCCCAGCACTGACAACACAACCACCACTGCCACAACTGTCCTGAACAGACCACGCAAGGAGAACCAACCAACGACGTCAGGCTTGCATGGGTTTTTGTGCTAGACAAACATCCCAGGGTTGCTCAACTCACTCCCAAAACAGTACTTCCCTTCTGCTAAGCTGGGTTTGCTTGGACAATAAAAAATAATAATTTAAGGGAAAATAATCAAGAGCCTTCAGCGTAACATTCGTCACATCCTATGTTGTTTCCCTGTCGATGATTTAAGTGGATGGCTTGCACAAAAAGCCATTGGACTTCCACCCTCTCACCACCCCCTTTTTTCCTACAGAAATCTCCTGAACTCCACACCCTTCTGACACAGGCAAGCCAAAACAAACAAATCGGAAAAACCCTCCAAAAGACACTAAAAACAAACTTGGAGATTTGGGGTTTTTTTAAAGACATTCTTAACATAACAAAAACTACAGCTTGGTACAGCAAGGGAGCAGGAGAACGGAAGCGACATCACCTGTGTCTTAAAATCCTTAAAACAGCACAAACCTGCTCAGCAGTAACTTTCAGATTATTCTAGGAAATATCAAGATGGTTTTAATACAAAATTGAGGGGGGTTTATGTTGTTTTTTTTGAGTTTTTTGGTTCTTTTTTAATCTGCATGCTTTTCTACAACTAGAATCCCTTGAACTACTGCAAGTCCTGTATTTAGTATAAGAAAAAGACATCTTCAACAAGGTCCTCAAATGCACTGATGCTGGATGCTCACTGGACGGTCCGATTTCAGACCAACTTTCCACAGCATCTCCTTCCACTCACGTTTTCGTGTTTCATGTGCTTGAGCAGCCGCAGCTCTCGGTAGGTCCTCTTGGCGTGGATGATGGACTGAAATGGTCGGGACAGCTTCTTTACAGCCACTCGCAACCCAGTTTTTGTGTCAAAGGCAGAACTGCAAGAAAGAGCAATCAAATTATCAAAATTAATTACTTATAAATACCTTCAAAGCCACACTTAGCAACTCCAGAGAGCTCCTGTCTGGGTATTGGGTCACAGTCAATGCCATTGCTCCACATAATTGCCAGGTATCGTGGTCCACAACTTGTATCCCCACCCCAACCCCTCACATTTTCACACAACTGTTGGTTTCTATAGAAAATGTTTAAAATACGAGTCTTGTTCACACGGGAAAGGGAAATACTGTAGGAAAAAAAGATAAATAGTTATGATTTTTCTTCTAAAAACAGTTGTGCCCTTTAAACACAGATATGGCAATAAAAGTCCATAGAGAAGAATCACAGAATCACAGAATTGCTCGGTTGGAAAAGCCCTCTCAGATCATCACGTCCAATCGCTCCTGTCTACCCCCTAAACCATATCCTTAAGTACCTCATCTACCCGCTCTTTAAACACATCCAGGGATGGTGACTCCACCACCTCCCTGGGCAGCCTGTGCCAGCTTCTGACGACCCTCTCAGGAAAGAACTTCCTCCTTATCTCTAACCTGAACCTCCCTTGGCACAGCTTGGTGCCGTTTCCCCTTGTTCTATCCCCCATCACCTGGGAGAAGAGCCCAGCACCCACCTCTCCACAAGCTCCCTTGAGGCAGTTGTAGGTGGTGATGAGGTCTCCCCTCAGCCTTCTCTTCTCCAGGCTGAACAAGCCCAGTTCCCTCAGCCGCTCCTCATCAGGCTTGGCTGAGTACAAGAGTACTTGTAAGTATTATCTGTATTTCTAAACACAATTTCATGCACCACACTTCATCACAAACTGGTTTTTATGGTATAAGTCCCTATAAAAATCCAAGGCCTGTGCCTAATAAAATCAACTCTGGTGGTTGTTGATCATAACTGAAGCTAAAAATCAAACCTCTTTGGTAAATCACATCTATCCTAAACTCCTGTTATACAAAAATGCATGTGAATAAGTGAGATTTAGCTGTACATTATTAAAAGTTGTCCCTTTAGCAGAAACTTAGACATAAAACCAGTGCATATTAATAATGTTTCTTCTTGGAACCCATGAACACCAACCCCATATACATATTTTCAGTATTTTGTGCTGTAAAATAATCTTTTCAAGTAATTCCCATTATAACCAATTTATTTATACTATTAAGAAGCAAAAGCCTGATACTTTTGAAACAACTGAAAATGTAACACATGAAGAATTATTAGAAATTTCTGATGCACTGCATAAAATCTTCCAGAGTTTCGGGTTTATACGTGAGGATTTACAGAAATGCAGACGTTTAGCTGTGAACTAAGAGACTCCTCTTTCTTCTCTCCTTTGATGTCCTTATCTAAACCAGCTCTGGTTTGTCAGAAAGGAAGGAGGAGGAGAAAGAGGATGTGAAATCAAGGTTACGCTCGATACCAGATAACAAACAAGGGGAAAGTATGGAATGGAGAAAGTCAGAAGGACAATCTCTTCTTATTTTCCTGCTGCATTTTGATTCAGTGCGAACTCCTGACACCATTTAAAAGTGAGTATGCCCAAGTTCTTGATAAATACCAAGGGAAAAGGAAAGCTGTGCATTTATAAGTGTAAAGCAGCTTGACTAACAAAGTTAGCTGAATTTCTGGAGCTGCACTGTATTGTCTCAAATAATTCCCATTATCAGCTACTTCCACACAGGAGTTATCCTTTACACCTCCCTCAGTCTGGGCAGACAAAAGAAGCCATTAATTATTTGGTTTTTAAGCTTGTTTTCAAGTTATCTTCAGCAAGTCTTCACGCTCCCCTAGAATATCGATATTTAAGCCACAACACTTCAGGAAACACAGAATTCAATTTTTTTAAAGCTTCACATACACCGTTTTGCAGTGTACAAACATACCTAATTCCGGCTGTAACTGTATGACAATATTTTAATGGTAGTCAAGGTGTTTCCTAGGTCTTAGAGCAAAAATAAGATTAGTCACCATATTCAACGCATGCTGTTGTGAGTTAGTCATGAATCTTTACCAGCTTTTAAAGATTTTGGGTACAAAAGGCAGCATGTACCAGTACCTCATCCTGAAAAGATGGGGATCCTCTGCACCTTTATGGGTACACAGTCAGAGTTCTCCCTTGGTTTTCACAAAATTCTCTTTAGAGAAGATTTCAGAGTCCAAAGGAAATGCCATTTCACCTTCTTTTCAATGACATTTTTGGGGTCGTATCGAGTCAACATTCACTAAGGAGAACTGCAATCAGCAGCACTGAGAAACCGGTTAACCAGCACAACACTGTGCACAAACCCAGGAAAGAAAATTCTGTATTACTGCACATTTGAAGTCAGAATCATTCCAAGTTGGGTCACATTTTGTGGCCTAAAGACT